CCAGAGAGGTATAAAGTTTACAGAGCCCTTAACATCATTCAAGTACATTTAGAATTGGCTAGACCACAACAGGAAGCATGTTAGCAAATTGGGCAGATAGACTTATCCAAGAGCACAACAGTCACATAAAAATTTAAGTCAGTCACATAAAAATTTAAGCAATGTGTAATTCTTTAAAATTGTCCCTAGACATTCCCTTCCTCCAACCATTCCCCTATCCCCACCCCAACCCAAACACACTGTGAAGTCTCGCAGTTCACGGAGTATCTTAATGTTCCCCATTACTAATGACAGCTACTTCGGGTTCTGCTGCTGATGCAGGGAGCCTTGGCACTTTCTTAGCAGGGCTTGGAATATGCTCAGTTGCTGTATTTGAATGCACAAGTCCTCCTCCTTCACCCAAAGTGTCATCATTTGGAGAGGGGCGACGAGCTTACGTTCTTCTATGCCTTTCATTCACTCTAACTAGGTACCATGTTCCTTCAAAGAGTGAATCTATTGAACACTGGGGTATATAGTTGGCCAAGTGATGAGTGTCCTCTCTGAGCTTCATGTTTTCAGCAAAGACATCTGGTGCTACACAAGTTCTTGAGTCAAGCCTTGATTTAAGATCACATAAACTTGCTGTTATTTTATCAAGAGCAGACCCTGGTGTGGCATCTTGTGTAACTTTAAGAGAGTTCAAGGTGGCAGCCAAACCAGAACCATAAGAGAACACTCCTATCCTCTTCCCTGCCAACTGCTGAGGAGAGTACTGGGCTAGAACAGAAGCAAGGGAACCATATACTGAGGATGTATACATATTTCCATTTTGATTTGATACCAGCAAAGATGCCTTTGTTTTCTGATTAAAGAGTTCAGAACTAGCCTTCATAAATGCCTTTTCCACATCTCTGTCAAAGTAAATATCTTCTAATTTAACATCCCCAAAAGCTTCCAGGCCACTGTAGATAGCATTTTTATCTCTGTTCTGGTCATTAAGGAAGTCATTCAGCATCATCCGAGCTAGAGATTTCTGAACCAGTTTACAATATGGTGAGTGAAAGATCATGAAGCCAAAATCATTTAAGGTAAAATCTTTATCATTTCCCTCTTTCTGCCACTGGGCATGGATCTTTTTGCGGTAGACAGAATAGCAGCGGTCTAATGCACTGAGGTAGCATTGTATGGAGAGTTTTCCATCGACTATAGGATATTCGGAGACCATATCGGACTTGTAAAAATCATAGGCATGTTACATATGTATTCCACGAAGCCCTCGGTCAAAAATTAAAGGAGCATTTGGCCCAATCAGCAAAGCCACAGCTCCAACTCCACCTGTAGGTCTGGCATTTCCTGTGGCATATATAGCAATATCTCCTGCAACTACCAGGGCATACAGTCCATCCCAAGAGCTGAACTCAATCCAGTTAACAGCATTGAAGACAGCAGCTGTGCCTCCATAGCACGCATTAGTTGTATCTATTCCTTCTATATCTGTATTTCCAGACTCCTCAAATAGCTGCATCAAATTAGTCTTCACTGACTTTGATTTGTCAATGATTGTCTCTGTTCCAACTTCTAACCGTCCAATGCAATCATAAGAAAGGTTATTTCTCTCCATTAGATTCTGAACCACAATTAGGCAAAGAGAGTTGATATCTTCTACATCTGTGCAGAAGCCTATCCTGGCCTGGCCCAAGCCAATGGTATACTTTCCAGCATCTACACCATCATATTTTTCCAACTCTGCTTGATCAACATATTGAGAAGGAAAATAGATCTCAAGGGCAACAATTCCCACATCTTTTGGCCCAACAAGCTTCTGCATTCAAAGGAAGTGACCCAGGCATGGTGAAAGAGCCAGATGTGACCGGTAGTGACCACAGGAAAAGGCCAAGCCGCGAAAGACCGTACACGGCGCCTCCCCTCCGCTACCAGCTTTATAGCCGCCGACCCACCCGACTCCGGCACAGCCGGGAGTCGGTGGGAGGCGGGACAATGCTTCATGTTTTATTTCTAAAATTCATCCATATTATTATATTTCTGTATTAGTCAACTCTTCATTGCTGTGACCAAAATGCGAGAAAAGAACAACTTAGGGGGCTGGGGATGTGGCTCAAGCGGTAGCACTCTTGCCTGGCATGCGTGGGGCGCTGGGTTCGATCCTCAGTACCACATAAAAATAAAATAAAGATGTTGTGTCCACCGAAAACTAAAAAATAAATATTAAAAAATTATCTCTCTCTTAAAAAAAAAAAAGAACAACTTAGGGGCTGGAGCTGTGGCTCAGTGGTAGACTACTTGCCTAGCATGTATGAGGCACTGGATTCAATTCTCAGCACTGCATATAAATAAACAAAGTACATTGACAATTAAGAAAATATTAAAAAAAAAAAAAAAAAGAACAACTTAGAGGAGGCAAAGTTAATTTGGCTCATGGTTTCAGAGGTTCAGTTCATGACCAGCCATGAACGCCATTGATCTGGGCCTAAGGTGAGGTGAAGAATCATGGCAGAGGGGTGTGGTAGAGGACCTCAGGACAGTTGGAGAACAGAAAAGAGGAGGAACAAGGGGGATAAAATACAATCCCACGGGCACACCCCCAGGACCCACCTCCTCCAGTCATGCTCCATTTGCCAACAGTAGTTCTTTCAAAGTATTCATCTATTAAATGAATTAATCCACTGACTAATTAATTCATTAATCCACTCTCACAATCTAACCATTTCACCTCTGAATATTCTTGCATTGTCTATCACATGTGCTTATGGGGGAACACCTCATATCCAAACCATAATAGTACTGCTATAGTTCATTTGTTTTTATTTTGACAACTATATTTTTCTTTTCTTTGTTTGGCACTAGGGATTGAAACCAGGGGCGCTTAAGAACTGAGCCATATCACTGGCCCTTTTTTTAAATTTGATTTTGAGACAGGGTCTCGCTAAGTTGCTGAGGCTGGCTTTGAATTCATGATCCCCCTGCCTCAGCCTCCCAAGCCACTGGGATTACAGGCATGCGCCACTGTGCCTGGCTACAACTACATAACATTTCATTGTGTGGCTATTTCAGTTAATTCACCCACTCTTTTATTTCATGGACATTTGGATTATTTCCTGGCTTTTGCTTTTGTGAACAGGCTGCTTTGAACATCCTTCACGTGTGCCCTGGTGTACACGTATGAGTTTCTCTGGGATTTATCCTTAGTATGGAAAAAACTGGGTACAGGGTAAGTGAATATTCAATTACAGGAGATAGTAGCTTTGTGGCACTCACTGTAATCCCAGAAATTTAGAAGGCTGAGGTGAGAGGGTCACAAGTTCATGGCCAGCCTGCACAATTTAGGGAGAACCTGTTCCAAAAATAAAAAAGTGCTGGGCCGGGCATGGTGGTGCTCTCCTGTAATCCCAGGGGCTTGGGAGGCTGAGGCAGGAGGATTGTGAGTTCAAAGCCAGCCTTAGCAAAAGTGAGGTGCTAAGCAACTCAGTGAGACCCTGTCTCTAAATAAAATACAAAATTGGGCTGGGGATGTGGCTCAATGGTCAAGTGCCCCTGAGTTCAAACCCCAGTACCTCTCCCTAAAAAAAAAGTGCTGGGGATGTTGCTCAGTGGTAAAGTGCCCTTGGGATCCTCAATACCACAAATCAATTATAAGAGAGAATCAAACTGTTTTCCAAAGTAGTTCTCTACTTTTCTTACATGAGGTGGTGCCCCCAATTAGAATGAGATTACAGGGACAGGAAAGCCTCTCCTTTTGAACTATTATTACTTAATATTCACATAGCACCAGACTGGTCCAAGAGGCCAAGGACCAAAACAGCAAGTATGAACCATATGCATAAAAGCTGGTTGAGGTCCTACTCAGAGTACCAGCCAAGCTCCTGGAGCTCTACCTTCTTAGCTTCACTTGATTTGGAGTCTAAAAGATCTTTCAGAGCCTAGTGACAATGCAAATCCTAAGAATGAAAAAGGCTTAAGCTCACTAAAGTCTTTCTCATCTGACATCTTTAACAGTCAAATAAGGATTAACAAGAAAAGCATAAAGGGCAAAAGGAATGGCAGCAAGAGGTAGAAGAGGAATAGGGACAACAGGAAGAGTCAAGAAACCTTCAGGTATTCTAAAGTCATGCACCCTTTTTTGCACAAGGGTCAGTTTTTCAGAATAACAATGACTACAAAATTTTATGAAAAAAATTTTCAGGTAACCACAAGCAATTTTTAATCTCCCTGCCACTAAAGGTTACCATTTTTTGGCTAATATTACAAAGATGTAAATAGCATGCAGTCAGTAAATTATATAGTGTTGCCCCCAAATACACATTATATGAGGTGAAAACCTATGATGCTGGGGGAAGAGTTCAGAGGGATTTTGAAATAGGCCAAAGAGCAGGTTCTAGAATTTGGTTACAGATGAGAAACAAGAACAAAAAAAATCTGGTACAAAAGAAAACAAAACATTAGGATATTCCTAGGCACTCAGAAAGCAAAAGGAGGTGAGTTGTCATTCTGAAGGCTGTAGAGGTCTGATTATCTCCCAGTTCTATATATCTCCCAGTTCTATAGTTTTCAGAGCTCCCTAGCTTCCTGACATACAGAAGTCCACAGAATACTTACTATTAAGAAACACACAAAAGTATGATATCCCTATGGCAGAAGAAGCTTCTCTATCTACATTTGACAGCAGAAGGAATGGTCAGAATTACTCAGCTAAGGACAGCTTTCTCAATGAGTAAGTAAGCAAATTATTGTGCACTGGCTTAACATTTTTAGTTACTTATTCCTTAAATTAGATCACAGGCCATATGGAGAAACTAGGGGGGCTTGCTGAACTATCAACTAATTAAGCAGAACTCACCTCAAGTGTGAGAGGAACTCTATAATCAGAGGCCAGTCTCAAACACCAGTCTGAGATCCTGAGCTTGGCCACCAAGGAGTTAGTGTTCAGCAGCTGCAGTTGGTACAAATGCAACTATAACAGTACTTGCACTGACATAAAGCCCCTGACATATCCCCAGCTCTATGGAACTTCAACAATTTTATTTGCTAAATGCTTCTTCACAAGTATACAGCTTACAGTGTAGGTTTCTCATTGGTTTTTTTCCTTCTAACCTCCAAATGGGACAGGCACCATTAGCATAAGCTTGGCAAAAGGGGAAGGGTAATAAGTGAGTTAGAAAACTGTTGATACTTCACAATTGAGCAGTAGGACAAACTCCTACTTCCTACTACTTAAAACTGCAGAAAAAACTCAGGATGGAGACGGGATCTAGAGTGCATCTCTGTCACTGGTCTCAGTTTCCAGTGCCTCCAATAGAGTACATCCTTTGTCTTCCTACTGCAGGGACAAGTGATGCTAGGTCAGCCTACGCATTTTGCAGAAGTACATAGGCCCAAAATTGGCCATGAGGTTTGGTATTACCAGCTCCCCAACCTGGCAGGATGGGAAGAAACAGAATGTGTCCATGAAAAGTTTTCGGAAGTGAGAGAGGTCTTCCACCTGAACTTTGATGCTATATTGATTGGCCAGAAGTTCGATGGTACCTTGCACCACATATTCATTCTGTAACTGTGAGAGGGAGCAGGTAGAATAGACAACATGGCCTCCCGGTTTGGTGGCAAGGAGTCCAGCCCTGAAACCAGAAAGAGAAAGAAGCAATTTCTATTGAGTTTCCCAGCAATGGAAGAGCAACATAAACAGCTGGAAACACATGTAGGGGAGTTCTAATAAGTGATAGATAGCTGGATTGGAGAGACTCTGAAGTCCCTTTCATGATGACTCTTTCTGAAAAATCATCCTTTTATTTATTTATTTATTTTGGTGGGGGGGGGTGTTAAGGAGTAGGATTTATTCAAATGAGAAGAAAAGAAACCAGGGTAAAAAGGGACTAGAAAGTGTTTGCCAGCAAAGTCTTTTTTTTTTTTTTTTTTTTTTTGTACCAGGGATTTAACCCAGGGGTATTGAGTCACATCCTCAGCCCTTTTTATTTTGAGATAGGGTCTTACTAAATTGCTATGGCCCTGCTTAGTTGTTGAGGTTGGCCTCAAACTTGCAATCCTCCTGCCTCAGCCTCTCGAGTTGCTGGGATTATAGATGTGCACCACCACACCTGGCCTGAAAACTCATTTTTTTAAAAATATTTTTTTAGTTATAGATGAACACAATATCTTTTTTTTATTTATATGTGGTGCTGAGGATTGAACCCAGGGCCTCACACATCTGAGGCAAATGCTCTACCACTGAGCTATGACCCCAGCTGAAAAGTCATTCTTAAGGCATAGAGCAATACAGCCTTACTCCATAGGATCTCTTCTAAGAAGGCTCTTTAAATGATCCCTTGAATCCTGACTCTGGTTGTGGACTGAATCCTGATATTGGCTATAGATTGAGTCAACCCTATAGAGCACTGACCTTAATAGCTATTTTTCTTTATCTTAAAGAGACATGGGCTCAGCTGGGAGTAGTGGCACATGCCTATAGTTCCAGCTACTCAGAGGCTGGGGCAGAAGGATCACAAGCCTGAGCCCAGTCTCAGCAACTCAGTGAGACCCTGTCTCAAAATTTTAAAAAAGATTTATCTTTTTAAAGGGCTGGTGATTTATCTCAGTGGTAGAGCATCACCAGTTTCAATCTTCAGTGCCACTAAATAAATAAAAAACAAATAAAAATAAAGAGATGGAGTCTCACAGTGCTGCCCAGGCTAGAGGCCAGGCTGGCCTCAAATTCCTAATGATTCTCCTGTATCACTCTACTTTATTCCCAAGTAGATAGGTCTACAGAAGTGATCCATCATGCCCTGCAGTAACTATTTTTCAAACAGATGCAAGTCACTGATACTGAGGGTAAAACAACATGAATAAATCTGCAACCCACCCTGGCATGTATGTCCTTACCAGATAGAGAGGGTTTTAATGTTCCAGAAAAGGACCATCGCATGATGTCTGACTCCTCCCAGCAGATCTCCAGACATAAGACCTTTCTATGGGTGATAATCTTAGAAACAGCTTCCAGAACCCCAATCTCCCAAGTGAGCAGACTCCTCTGAGTTTTTTTTTTTAATTTATTTTTTAGTTATAGGTGGATACAATATCTTTATTTTATTTTTATGTGGTGCTGAGGATCAAACCCAGTTCCTCAAGCATGGTAGGTGAGCACTCTACCTCTGAGCCACAACCCAGCCCTCCTCTGAGTTTTTATAAATTTTTCACTCACGCAAGAAGCTGCACCTGCAGCATAGGCAACATCTGTCGCTCCTTCTTCCTTGACCGTTGGAAAATGTTGTTCTCTTCTTCATGAAGGGAGTGGCGGTCTGTGGTACAGGGTACATCCACCAGCACCTGCCAAACATGTTAAAGGTGAAGTATAGAATCTCCTTACAGGGTGTTTGTTCCTACTTGGGACCAGATTTGTTTTAGGCTCCTGGCCTAAAAGGTTTCATGGAATGTTCCCTCTGCTCATCCATCCATCCGAGTACCTAACCAATACTTTTCATTTTAACCTGGTAGACATTTGTGAAATAATAATTGGGATGCCAAGTATGTAGTGCACATCTGTAATCCCAGTGACTAAGGAGGCTGAGGCAGGAGGATCAACAAGTTCAAGGCCAGCTTCAGCAACATAGCAAGGCCCTAAGCAATTTATCAAGAACCTGCCTCAAGGGCTGGGGATATGGCTCAAGCGGTAGCGCACTTGCCTGGCATGCATGCGGCCCGGGTTCGATCCTCAGCACCACATACAAACAAAGATGCTGTGTTCACCGAAAACTAAAAATAAATATTAAAAAATTCTCTCTCAAAAAAAAAAAACCTGCCTCAAAATAAAAAGGGTCTGGGGATGTGGCTCAGTGGTAAAATGTCCCCGGGGTCAATCCTTCGTACCCAAAACAACAATAGCAAAGAGGCTGAGGCAAGAGTATCTTGAGTTCAAGGCCAGCTTCAGCAACTTAGTGAGGCAGACCATGCCTCAAAATAAAAAATAAAAAAGGTTGGGGGGCTGGGGACATAACTCAGTTGGTACAGTGTTTGCCTTGCATGCATAAGGCCCTGGGTTCAATTTCCAGCACATAAAAAAAATAAAGGGGTTGGGGATGTAGTTTAGGGATATAGTGCTTGCCTAGCATACCAAAGGCCATAGGTTCAATCCCCAATACCACAAAAAAGTTGAGCTAAATGTAGTATAGTGATAACTAGAGATTGGAAAGAAGGGTATAGTGTTGGCAAAGGATGATGGATAAAGAGAGGTTAGATTTGATCAATGCATACTGTATGCATACTGAAATAGCACACTAAATTCCATTAATCTGTGCAACCAATATATTAGTAAAATCTTAAAAAAATCAATAAAATCTTTTCAAAACCCTATAGCCAGCCAGGCATGGTGTATACACCTGTAATCCCAGCAGCTTAGGAGGCAGGAGGATCAAAAGTTCAAATTCAGCCTCATAAACTTAGCAAGGCCCTGAGCAACTTAGCAAGACCTTATCTCAAAATTTAAAAAAATAGAGCTGGGATTGTGGCTCAGTGGTAGAGCACTTGCCTGGCATGTGTGAGGCACTGAGTTTGATCCTCACACCACATAAAAATAAATAAATAAAGGTATTGTGTCTGCCTACAACTAAAAAATATTTTTAAAAATTTTTTGAAAAATAAAAAGGGCTGGAGATGTGACTCCTTGGTTAAGAACCCCTGGGTTCAATCCCTGGTGCCAAAATAAGAAAAAGAAAAGAAAATGGATGACATGTAACAAAAATAACCACAAAAACAAAAGGAAATAAGCCTCTTAGAGTAAGTCGGCAGAAACAAAAACCAATAGAATTAAATCCCAAATGCTTTTTTTTAAACACTTTTTTGGTTGTAGATGGACAGAGTACCTTTATTTTATTTATTTCTATGTGGTGCTAAGGATTGAATCTCAAATGCTTTTAATATTAGAATTATCCAATGTAAAATTAAAATATAAATCTGGGCTGGGAATGTATCTCAGTAGTAGCATACACAAGGTACCAGGACTCAATCCCCAGCACTGCTAAATAAACAAAAATAAACATTTCTAAATAAAAAAAGAAATTAAAAGAAAAAACAAAGAGCAAAGAACAGAGACAACTTAGTGAAAGAAACACAGTAAATAAAATAAAGAGTAGCAGGGTGTGGTGGTGCATACCTGTAATCACAGCAGCTCTAGAGGCTAAGGCAGGAGTGTTGTGAGTTCAAAGCCAGCCTCAGCAACTTATAAGGACCTAAGCAACTTAGCGAGACCCTGTCTCAAAAAATAAAAAAGGTCTGGGAAGCATATTATAGTGATGCAGCCACATGAATGTTTGTAGCGCTCAATTCACAATAGCTAAACTATGGAACCAACCTAGGTATTGTTGGTTCCATATATATGTGGGGTGCCTATGTGTGTGTGTGTGTGTATAATGAAATATGACTCAGCCTTAAAAGAGAATGAAATTATGGCATTTGCAGGTAAATGGATAGAGCTGGAGAATATCATGCTACAGAAAATAAGCCAATCCCAAAAAACCAAAAGCCGAATGTTTTCTATGATGTGCAAATGCTAATTAAAATGGAGGGGGCGGGGTTAGGAAAGAACAGAGTTACTTTAGATTAGGTAGAGGGGAGTAAATGGAGGGGAGGGGATATGGTGGTAGAAAGGATAGTAGAATGAATCAGACATTATTACTCTATGTACATATATAACTATACAATCAGTGGAATTCTACATCATGTAAAATCAGAAGAATGAGAAATTATACTCCATTTTATATGATGTATCAAAGTGCATTCTACTGTCATATATAACTAATTAAAACAAATTTACAAAATTATATTTAAAAAAAAAGGGTTGGAGATGTGGCTCAGTGGTTAAGTGCCCCTGGGTTCAGTCCCTAGTACAAAATAAAGAGAGCTGAGACCAAATATTATCAGTGACATTAATTGATTAAGTCAGCAATTAAAAGAATGAAGTTTATAGATTGTGTCCCAATACAAAACCTAAGTCTATGCAGTATAGAAGATATACAAATAAAAGGAATTGATTCAACAGTAGTAAATATAAAGAGATGAACAAATGGGCAACTGAAATGCATATAAAAAGAAAGCTGTGGGAATTTCCATAACCCATAAAAGAAATAAGGTCTACAGATTCTTTCTCTACTTCTTCTCAGTGTCCTGAGGAGGTAGCCGTACTCTGGGGTGAAAATGGCTGCAGTGTACACCTAAGGATGCTGGATTTCCAAGCCCTGGTGCATAGAAACAGCTGAGTTGTGTGATTTCAAAAGGACTATAAATCAGTGATAACATATCTGAATATTTTGGTTCTAATATATTACTGAAATTGCTTCAGTAGTGTCAACTGTGAAAAATGTTGACCTCATTTAGTCAAAAGGCGAAAGAAAAGCAAGTTGTACCTTGCACTGAGGAAATATTTAGAAAGGGCAAACATCTAGGGGGACTAAGGCAGAAGGATCTCAAGTTAAAGGCCAGCCTTTTTAGCAATAGCGAGGCCTTTAAGAAACTTAGTAATATGGCTAAGGCATCTCTGTTGGTCCTGCCCAATGTACATCATTATTAGCCAAATGTCAGGATGATGCTCCAGTTGAATCTAAGCCCCAAATATGTGTCTTGCAAATACATAATTTCTTTTATGGGGAGATAGAAGTCTATTTAAAAAAATTTTTTTCCTTGTACTGGGGATTGAACCCAGGGGCACTTTACCACTGAAATACATCTCTAGTCCCCCTTTCTTAAAAAAAAAAAAAAATTCTGATAGGGACTCATAAGTAGTTAATAGTTAAGGCTGGCTTAGAGCTTAAGATCCTCCTGACTCAGCCTCCCAAGTCACTGAGACCCCAAGTGTGCAACACTGTGCCCAGCTAAACACTTTATTTGAAATTTAACACAGGAAAGAAGCGGGAGGTAGAAGGAGGGAGAGATGTAGGCAAGTTCTGAGGGGAGGGTAAGGGTGGGTGTCTTGTCATGAACACTGAAAGTTCTGAGGTCCTGTCCTCTCTCTAGTTGATGGACAAGTGCAGGTGGGGAAAAGATGGAGATACCAGAATGTGTGGAACCCTGAGCTTTCTTTGCATCTAAAGTGCTTAACACATCCCTACCAAATAGTAGATTGCACACAACTATTTCTTCAATAAATAAATCAATGAAGAGATCTTTAAGACATCAATGCTGTTTTCAAATGTCTAAAAGCACTATTAAGTGAAATGGGAGGACATTCATTCTATATTGTTTCAAAAGGCATAGCTAGAATCAATAAATGGCAATAAAATAATGATAAAGATTGTGATAGGCTGGGCATGGTGGTACATGCCTGTAATCCCAATGGCTTGGGGGACTGAAACAGGAGAATCACAAGTTTAAAGCCAGCGTCAGCAATGTTGAGGTGCTAAGCAACTCAGTGAGACCCTGTCTCTAAATAAAATACAAAATAGGGCTGGGGATGTGGCTCAGTGGTTGAGTGTTCTTGAGTTCAATCCCTGGTACACACACACACATACACAAAAAAGATTGTGATGATACCAAACAAAAATTAAGTAAAGATGCTACAGAACTAAAAAATATCATTTAGACTTAACAGACATATATAGAATATTTCATCTATCAATGACTGAATACACTTCTTCTTAGCAGCACATGGAACATTTTCTAAAACAGACCATATTTTAGGCCACAAACAAAATCTTAACAAATACAAAAAAAAAATAGAGAAAATACCCTGCATTCTATATCATAATAGAATAAAATTAGATATTGAAGATAAAGAATAGAACCACTCTATGGGGCTGAGGTTGTAGCTCAGTGGTAGAGCACTTGCCTTGCATATGTGAGGCACTGGGTTCGATTCTCAGCACTGCATATAAATAAATGAATAAAATAAATGTCTGTCAACAACTAAAAAAAAAATTAAAATAATAAAAAAAAGAACCACTCTAACACCTAGAGACTAAACAAAACACTTTTGAATGATGAATGGATAACAGAAGAAATCAGGAAAGAAATAGAAAAATACTTAGAGGTAGATGAGAATAGTAATACAACATATCAAGCTGGGATACTATGAAGGCAATTCTAAGAGGAAAGTTCATAGCATTGAGCTCAAACAATTAAACAGAAAGACACCAAACAAAAAATCTAACATTACATCTTGAGGCCCTAGAAAAAGAAGAACAAACCAACACCAAAATCAGTAGAAGACAGGAAATAATTAAAAATCAGAATTGAAATCAATGAAATTGAGATTAAAGAAACAATTCAAGGGTTGGAGTCATGGCTCAGTGGTAGAGCATTTGCCTGGCACATGTGAGGCCCTGGGTTCAATCCTCAGC